ACTACAGTCGCAGACACTACACTTCCTCCTCCGTCCACCGCCACAGTCCCACCATTTCTAGTTGCCGCCTCCCTGAGCCATTGTGTCATAGTCATCGCCGATGACCACCGCGCCGACCTAGATCCTGCGACATACAACAAGGCGACCATATACGCCCTCCCCACCGCCATCTCCGCTTGACCTGACTCCGGCGAGCTGGGTGGCAGGGATGATCGCATTTTTTTTTGGGTTGCAGAAGGAGTCAGGGATAGGGCTTAGGAAGAGAGGATGTCTGCAGCCGTGATGGGACAGGCGGGATGGTGGTGGTGGCTGACGGGGGACCCTTTTTTTTATTGTTGAGAAAACTTTTTGGATTTGGGGTGCTTTTCTGGAAAATTTGATATGTTTAGGGGACTTACATGCAATTTATTAACTTTTTATATATTTGCACTTTAGTACATGGGACAATTATATAATTTAATCAAAGATCAATAAATGTACAATAATTAAATGCACAATAATGTTACATAAGATGCACGATACTGCTCGAGGACATGCACATTAAAAAATAACATAATATTTTTTTTTTTTTTAGAAATTATAGAATTGCGTCTGTCTACACATCTAAAATTTCACAATTCATCCAAAATGTCACTGCACTTAGGGTTGTTCATTGACCGAACGGAATGGCCGAAAAAAAACCAAGTCGATCTTTTGGAAAATCAAATTGACCGAAGTTTTGGCCCAAATCAAAATAAAATCGAACCGAAAGCCATCATCAAACCAAAAAAACCAAAATTTTAAAAGTAATAACATATAATCAAACCAAAATATATAAATTAAAGCTAAAAAGGTCGTTGTAATTGAGATGTAATTGACCTCTTTCTTGTGCTTCAGCCCTATGAGGATATGGTTAGAAACATGGAACATTTGAGAAGATGTGCTAACAAGAAGGCATGAAAGCAGTCCACCCAGTAGACATTGTGTAGTCTGTTGGAGTTCATTCAAACACATGAATCCTCTTGGATTGGATCTCCGCAAAGGGAGAGAAACCACGACGTACAGAGTTTGTAAGAGCAACAGGGACAAGCTCACTTCGCTCTCCTCTTTCTCCCTTTACTTTAGATGGGCTATCTTACTAGAAGCTTCTGCCCCGAGACCACTTTGCTGACTTCGAAAGAGTAATTGAAAAGATTGAAAAAGTGAAGCTAGAGTTACGACCACGATGCTACCCAATGGACTGGGCAAGTCAGCTCAAAGACTTTCCGGATGAAGGTACGACAAGGAAATTCCATGCTTTGTTGAAGCTTTCTTCTAAGCCCCCGAATTCAATTCGAATCTTACTCAAATATGGAAGGTGAAGGAAAAAGATCTCTTATACGGGCACGTCCCAACCGCATATGCCACAACTTGACTGCTTTAGACTCCTTGTTGGTGGAATCTGCAATTTTAGTTTGGTCGGTTTCAGTCGCTATTTTGCAGTCTGACAGTCATTAATGTACAATTCAGCTATCATTATTGTGCACTCGCAGCGCAAGCATTTTTAATGGTTTGTGCCAAACCAAACTGAAACTGAATCGAACTAATTGGTTTCTTCGATAGGTTAACCGAAATAACCTAAATAATTAAAATATTTTATTATGTATATTATAAAAATATATTTAATATTTTAATATTATATACTATTTTTGGTCGAAAAGATGTAATATATATAAAGCTATATAAATAAATAAAACTTTTGTATATAGTTTTGTCATTTCAATTATTTTAAAAAATAAAGTCATCATCGAACCGAGATAACCGAATGAAGTATAAAAATTCAAATCAAAATTTTTAATTTGATCGGTTTTGGTCGCTATTGTGCAGTCCTACAATCATTAATGTGCATCTTGTCTAACACTATTGTGCATTTTGCAGTGGGAACATTTTTAATGTTATGCACACACAATATTGTGCAATTTTACTTAACATTAATGTGCATTTTACTTTTCATTAACGTGCAATTGTTTCTATTAGTAAAATATTGATTTGACCCATGAACTAAATTGAACTAAATTGTAATATAGGTAAAATTTATGAACTTTGCAATTAAGTCTTTGGGACTTATCAAAATTTCAAATGAGGTCTCTATATCCAAAATCCAATTCTTGTCGGCTTCATTGTCGGACAATCAGCTTGTCTTCCAGCCCCCGCCGCTCCCTGCGAGATTCGCCCCCGTCCTCATACAGTCGCGGATCGACGAGTTTCCGACAGTTTGAGATTTAACCCCAACTATGGGGCTGACGGGCAACATAGGCCTTCTCCATCCTCGCCTGCGACCGAGGGACCTCCGGAGAGCAGTTCGTCGGTTTTCAACGCTAGTGGCCTCCTCACTCATTCAAGGTGGTATGTCCCCCTTATTTTTTCAAAAATTCTGGACTGTTATAAAAATTGATCTGTGTGCTGCTATCTTCAGTTTCTTTGATTCTTGTCAAATGATAAAAAAATTGGAACCATACTTTCATTACTGTAGTGCCTAAGTGTCCCAACCCTGATTACTTAAGCAATTTCAGACCAATAGGTCTCTGTGGAGTCTCTTACAAGATAATTTCAAAAATCTATTCCATATGCCTTAGTCTTTCTGTTAGCCATAATCAGTCAGTCTTTATCCAAGGTAGACAATTGGGAGACAATTTAATTATAGCTCGAGAGGCTATTCACTTCCGTAATAGACACAGGCCAGGAAAGAGTAAGTTTATGGCTGTCAAGCTAGACATGGAGAAATAATATGATAGGATTGAGTGGAATTGCATGAAGAAAATCATGCTTAAACTAGGATCCATCTCACTTTTGTCAAATGGGTGTATATGGTTGTATTTCTACTTCAGCTTACTCTTTTAATTTAAATGGAGAAATGAAGGGCTATGTGAGAGCAACTAGAGGGATAAGGCAGGGGGACCCCCTATTCCCTATGTTGGTTTATGAGGTCTTCATAAGATTACTGAGAACTGAAGAGGAAAATGGAAACTTTTCTTGGATGAAAATATCTAAACATGGCCCTCAGTTCTCCCACTTGCTGTTTGCTGATGATGCTTTAATTTCTTAAGTAGGGCCGAGAGTAGGCAAGCCTAGGTGCTGCTAGAAGTGTTGCACAAATACCAGGTTTTCACTGGGCAAAAAGTAAACCTAGCCAAGTCTTCTGTTTTCATTAGTAAAAATACACCTTTGGAGATTCAGTTGGGAGTGAGTCATGTCCTAGATGGTGTCTCAGTTCAAAATTCTACTCGATATGTGGGGCTCCCCTTAGGTATAGAGAATTCTAAAAAATAGTGTTTTGGCTTTGTAGTGGATTTTGTTAGGACTAGATTGTAGCTGGAAAATTACGTTTTTGTCAAATGCTTGTAAAGAAGTACTCCTAAAATCAGTGACCAATGCTATGTTTATCTTTACCATGCTCTGCTTCTTCTTACCTAAAGGAACCTGCCATGAGATCACTATGTTGAGTGCAGATTTTTGGTGGAGCAAGGGAGATGATCAAAGCCGTGAAAGGCACTGGAAAAGCTGGAATGCAGTGACTATCCTTAAGGAGGATGGAGGCTTGGGCTTTCAAGACTTACTCTTGTTTAATGAAGCATTGATCCTGAAACAACTGTGGAGAGGAATCACCAATCCAAACCTCTTTGTTAGTAAGATTCTCAAAGGTAAATACTTCTCTAAAGGCTCTCTTCTCCAAGCAAAAATTTCTTATAATGCTTCTTGGATGTGCAGAAATTGGCTAAAGCTGAGAGACAAACACCAGAAGGGGTTTTAGAGTGAAAATTAGGAATGAGCAATCTTACAGGTCGTGGGAGGATCCATGGGTACCCAATCCTTGATTGGGATTCCCCAGAAAAGGAGTGACGTTGTTTGCAATCAGGCAAGGGTGGAGGAAATTCTTGAATAGGGAGAGAGAAGATGGAGAGAGGAGCTATTGGATGAATGGTTTGGGGACTCTAACAACAAAGTGAAGATTAGGAGCGTCAAGACTCTCAGTCCTAACCTTCAAGACAAATGGTGCTGGTCCTTTGACATGAAAGGAGTGTTCTTTATGTCTTCAACCTACTCCCACCTGGTGCTTAAAAAATTGAGAGATCTGGATGTGGCAGAAAGCAGTAGAACATC